AGTAGTTTTAAGGTGGAGCCTTGATTCGCCAAATTTACCGCAAATGAGTGAGCCTAATGCCTCCTCCCCTTGTTCTTTAGAAAAAAATAATATGGCCGTATCCCGGCTTCACAAGACTAAAATGATTGGTCTCTGTGGCAGTGTTCCTTTAATGCAGGCAGGAAGGAAAGCACCAGCTTGGGGGTCACCGGTACCAGTACCAGGCGCCAACAAGTTTCCACTATATAATATTAGTCTAGAGTATAAGGTTGTGTTTTTATTATTTTCGTTTCAAAGAAGTAATATGTATAGTGCCGACGATTCGTATGCTATTGCTCACTGGAAGATGGCACGTTTATAGAAGGCATCAAAGTACCACGCGTGGAGGTGTCTAATATGAACTGTGGTATGAAACACTTTTAATGTATAAACACTTAATTAAATAAAAAAATAAAATTAAATTAATCTATCTTTGCCAGACGCAGTATGCAGGCTACATTTAAAATAAATTCGCAGATGAGAGGTGCTACTGAGACTTAACTTATGGCGCGTCTAAACGGGCCATGTTTTGCTGCAATTGATGGCTGCACTGTTGGCCACTAATTGCCCGGCCATTACAAAAATATTTTAATGCAGCTGATGGCCGAACAATCTATGGCTGGGCAATATGTTGCAATATGTCTGCAATAGTATGGCCCATGATGCAGACTCCTAAACGGGCTACACAAACCGGCAACAATGGCTGACGAAATCACACTTGTCGCAGCAGCTTATATTGTTTTAAAAAAGAAACAGAAAAAGAAGAGATTGTGGATTCGACCTTACTTAAATAGGCGTGAAACTGTAGACATTTTGAGTCTAGAAATAAGTCTTGATAATAAATTATTCAAGAACTAGAATGTCAAAAGTAGTCATTTTTACGTAGTAATCTAACGTCAAATACAGCTGATCGCAAAACACAGAATAAAGCAACACGCACACTTCACTCAAAGCAAACGTCATGTCGCGTAGAAAAGGATACACTATGCCATAACAAAGAGAGTGACTGAAACAACAAGAGAACTGGCTGTGCAATATTGCAGTTGAATTCGATAGCCTAGCGATCGTCCGGCCACCCATCGGGGCAACATCGGCCATATGTGGCTATACAAAACATGTTTGGCTATATGGCCGGGACATAACTGCAATATTGCATAGTGTGGCTGCTATTGTTTGCAATGTTGCCGGCCACAGTGTTGCAGCCATCAATTGCAGCAAAACATGGCCCGTTTAGACGCGCCATTATAGTTACATACTTATTCACATTACACTCATTCGCTCACAGACACATACACCCACACACACACACTCATTCGTACTAATTTCATACACCCACACACTCGCTCGTTCACTCACCTACACCCACACACTCGCTCGTTCACTCACCTACATCCACACACTCATTCACTCACATACATCAACACACTCCATCAGGCATTCACGCTTCGCGTTGTTTTTTTTTAAATCCTTTTTTTTGTAAACTATAACAATTTAAAGAAATAATATATATGTACTCAGCTTTTAAGAAATTAGATTAGAGGTTGGTAATCTACAGTTTATCAACTCCATCAGGGATTAAAGCCCAAACCCACATAATAACCATTGGATAAAATGACAGTTTATGGTGATGGTAAACGGTAGTTTTCACCACCATACATGGTGTCCCTGCAAACATTCGTCGCCGTAAAAAAGAGCTGCTTCTTCTTCCGAACATCGGATTAACTTCATTATAAAAAGATGTGTGTTTGCTTGCTTAGATTGCGCCCGTGAAAAGTGCAGGACAAATGTAAATTTGGAATGCGATGGGTACGGCAATTATAAGGATGCTGTTTTCACCATGCGTCAATACCAGTCAGGAGATGAAAAGGCTACAGGTGAGTTAACAGTTCTTGGATAGGTAAAGATTTCAGAACTACAGTCGACTCTCGATAATTTGCAACTCAAGGGACCAGAGATAAATTTTAAATTACCAAGAGTGCAAAATATTACTGCCATGTAATGCTTTCGAGGGGTAGGTGATTACATTTTTAAAGGCTTTTTTTATAGCGTGGGAGCGGGAAGCGAGCAAAATTTGAGTTGATCACTTATAATAATAAAGCCCGTTTTATTTCCAATCATGACAAAAAACAAATTATAATACACAGCTTTGATTATTTTACATTTTTGAACATTTTTTTTTGTTATGCTTGTTCACTTAAGTTACTTAAATTATAGGTTTAAGGAAGAAATTACTAGGAAATTGTTGATGAAACACTGAAATTAAAATGCCAAATAGTTTAAATAAATTTTCGAATTTTCCTTAACAATCAATTAATTACCCATGTCCCCATGTGGCCCCATGTTGGGAAACACTGATTTAGATCATAGGTATTGACAACAATTATAATTAACTGTTACTATATCGGTTCAAAGGTACTTTATTTCTCAAAGAATTACATTCACTTACTGAGAGACCTACTTTTAGACCTACTACTACCTACTTTGAGAATAGTTTAGTAATGTATACGTATCGTGTTATGAAACTATTTAAAAATAAGTTATATAAAATAAAAATAGTTGCTAACATTATGTATGTACATATGTATTATATGACTGACTCAAGTAAATAAGAGTTTGATCACAATTCGAGATTTATTATTCCTATGTTATTATTATGAAAATAAATACAATTATTCACAAATTTTTATTTCGAAAAGAAGTCCGTGATAATTTTATGAGTGAGACTTTAGACTTCAGTCCAAAGAATTTAAAAAAACAATTGATAGGTCTGTGCATGATAACCTAAATAGAGAGTAGGTGAAATTATCGAGAGATTGAAATAATCGAGTGTCTATATTGAGAGTTGACTGTATTAGTAGCAATAATTTTAATGATAGTTGGATTTAGAGATATGTAGGCCTCAGGGGCAACAAAGGATAAGAGGCCCAAATAAAATGATCTTTTTTTTTATTAGACTGTCCCAATCAATAATTAATTGTGAAACAAAGTAGATTTTTTTAGTATTTAACAAATATAAGATTATATCGATAGAAAAGTTGTTTACTAGTGTTTACAAGTTTCCATTGTGGGGGCCGCTCTTTTGTGGGGGCCGCTCTTTTGTGGAGGCCCCTCTTTTGTGGAGGACTCAGGGCTGTAGCTCCGGTTGCCCTCCCCTACATCCCCTAATTGTAATTCTATTCTCATTTAACTAACTATCTCGGACATAAATGCAACAGGTTGTCACTATGCGATGTCTTCGAGGTAACTTGCTAAAAGATTATATTAAACATCTAATATATGAAATTTGTTATGCATATTCAGTAAGTCTGAGAATCTATATTTCAAACCCCTTAGTGACAAGGGGTGTCCACCCCAAAAATTTTGTTTTTATTTTTTTTTATGGTACAGCGTACAAAAATACATACAACCCCTCTACAATCAACCTCTATTTTTTACTTTTGTAGAATGTAGATAATTATTTTTATTGAACTAAAATAATGTTTCCTAGAAATAATATACCTGGCAAAACAAACGTTTGCCGCGTCAGCTAGTAATTATATAAAAATATATGTACGTAGATTTTCTTATAAATTTATACGAAAATTGCTGTTTTTATTACTCTCTTCTCACATTAATGAAGTCTTAGAATACGTCTAAATCAGTAAAATCTTTGAAAATTCTAATATACTGGGCCTGCTAATATTATATGTTTTCAGTGACGAAAATTCCGACCCTGACGTCTCCACGAACTGGTTATGAAGCAGCTTTACCTACTGGATATGTTTGAATTAAATAATATATTTTTATTGGATTATATCACTTACCACCTTAATGAAACCGATTCCACTTCCTCTGTCTCTTTCCGCCACAGTGGAAACACAATTGTCAGAACGAGACGAAATTAATTAAAAGTTAAACATAGACACAAAGAGATAAACGTATTCTTAGAGAATTTATATTTTTGCGAAATAATTCTGTTCGTGTGTGCAACTTTCTATTGGATAAAATGGTTATTTAATTTCCCAATATTTTTTTTGGGTTTATATGTTTTAAACATGCATCAGGGGCTGTTTAAGTATTACGTAAGCATTATAGGGGGGAGAGGGGGTCTTTGATTTTCTTATTTGGTGATTACGTCAGCAGTAATTATTTAGTTTTTTGCACATATACACATTGTCTATGCTTGAAAACGAAATGCAGTTTCGAGAAATCCTACAAAAAATGTGTATGTACTATTATTTTTGAGAGATTTGCTTACTTTTTCTGACAAGAGGAGGGGTGGGGGGGATAAATTGCAGTAAATCTGCTTACGTAATACTTGAACGGTCCCTTACTACAATAATTTCCTATTTAGCATATTTCATTCCACATGTTTCCCATGCAGACAGAATAATCCGAAATGTCATGTTGATGTTAGCTTCAATGCTGTTTTAATTTAGCTCGATTACCTTCCGCATCGCGCCTGCGCACTGAAAACAATGACAGCTGATTGTTATGTCAATAGTTTCAACAATTTTGAAAATGCCTTTTCAATTTCTTAAGATAATGAGAAAGTTGGTTGACCTTCACCTAGCACTATGTAATGATATTTCTGTCCGTCCTTGTGACGTCACTGTCACTACAATGTATCTGGGTTGCTTGTTGAAAGAATTACCCTATGATTGGTAATTTAAATTCACAGAAGTTATGAAAATGATATTTAAATTGTAATCGTTAAAAGTAGGTTTATGTTAACTAACTTAACAATACAGCGTTTTATGATATGAAACACTCAAATTTAAATATTATCCAAAACAAATATATAATTTATTTGCACTAGTTGAAAGTAATATAGTTTAACAAAAATATCATTAACTACTTTTAATTTGAATTTTCAAGAATTATCAAACTTAATCCAGTTTTCCGGCGAAATACGAGCTAATACATGGCAACACAGAACAGCTGCAGTACGCTTAGCTTTCAGTCGATATTGTGCGCATCTAGTGTTACATCGTATTTTTAAAATGCCAAATATAATTAACGAAGTTAAATTAGACTTCAAGGATGTGTTGTTGAGACCTAAAAGAAGCACATTGAACAGTCGGAATGATGTAAGTATTGGCTGAAACTGAAATAAATAATTTTATTTTATATTTTGGTTTGTCTATGAAATATTCATACCAATTCTACCTTTTTGTAATTCGTCGATGTGTTTAGTAATATAAGGAATTGATTGAATCTAAAACCTAGACTTAAACCTATATTCAGGGTGAACTTAGTTTAACAATATTCTGTTATGTAATGTTTAGACATAGACATAACATTTATTACAAACAAAACACACGCAGAAACACAAAATAACAATAATAAAAAAATAAAAAAAATAAAGATAATAATTGTTTTTTTCTTTTAATTTAGTTAACTCACATTAACAATAATTTCAATTCGTTTATAGTAATTTATACATGCTCATTTACAGTAGATATATAGATGCGTATAAAATAAATAACTAATAAATTTAGCTTTTTAATTATAAATATTAAATTGCTCATATTAGCCATGAATTTAAAATCTCATGGCTGTTAGATGTTTATGAAAAATCAGTCCAAAAACTAAAGGCCAAGATTACAGCATAACACGAAATAGTGCACCGATTATATTATATTCTAGAGTCGGCCTATTATATTATATAAAATCGTAGATTATATACCTAAAATTACGGTATATAACTATCGATTTAAGGAAGTGGTATCTTGTGATTGGATCAATATAAAACTTTTAAGTAACCGTTGATTCTTTCGAACTAATACGGGTCCTTTAAGAAATTAGCGAAGAATGAGCGAGGCTTTATTGTGATATTGCACACCCTGTTCAATAAAACAATTCTTTTGCAATTCAAGTGTCGTGAACTATTCAATATTATTTTAGTAGTCAAATGTCAATTGTCAATTGATAACCGCTTTTTTATAGCTTGTGTGTCTGCGGCTGATATCTTTGAAGTCGTTTAATAGATATTAAATAAACCCCTTATTGCACCGTTTTAACTTTTCTTCATAATCGCTGGTATATTTGTATGAAAGACCTTTCAGCGCAACCACTAGGGGCCTATTTCAGGGGGAATTTTCTAATATTTGACATAGACGAGAGAATTTCTGTATACAAATATTTAAAAAATATATTTTTGAATTGGCTCCATTGATAGTGAAACGTTTTTCTTTCACCATTAAAATCCTACAAACAAAATAATCTATAGAATATTTTCGAAAAAGTTAGGAGTATGAAGATTTCGATGATGTGTAAAAATACCAACAACTATATCGTGTACGCCCCGGAAACTATTGACAATAGAGCAAAGCGATGACTACAGTTTTATAGAAGACGTCATTATCTACAAAGATACTATACGTCTGACTATTACATATTTAATAAAATCCAGCTGTGAGGAGCCGGGACTAAACTACTGAAGTCTCCACGACACTAATATAAATTAATATGAAGAGATAATAATTATGAAGATGTCGCTATTGTCCACCGTACCGAAGAGAAGAAAACAATTTTAGGAGCGGGAAGACTCACTTTGTTTAACAGTTACAATTTACGTCTTTCTTTAAAACATTAGGTATTGTAGTTAATTTAATGATTAATTTCAGTTTATTTGTCTATTAATGTACTTGTGTTTTCTGTTTCTTATATTATGTTGTTTATTAATGTTTTGGCTTTGTATATTTTTTAAGTGTTTTCCTTTATAATATGGATACGTGTAGCTGTAAGATGTACAGACAAATATAGTCAAGTCAAATTCATGTAGACAATGTACACTTGTGAACGTCGAAACAGAAATATACATTAAATGCTTCTTAATTTCATTTTGATTTAGTGCCAGTTCTCAAATTAAGGGCGTAGAACGGAAGAGAAGAACTGGCAATAAACTCTCCGCCACTCTTTTTAATCGCTAACTGTTTTACACAATGTTTGTAAGGAGCCATTACACCATGTTCCACATGACATCTTAAGTAATAAATAATAATAAAAAAAATTAAAAACAAAGATTTGTCCTCTATCAGCAGGAGGCATAGTGAAATAGGAGCACGCACAGAATATATAAGAATAGCAGAAAAATTATTACAATTTTGGTAAGGTTCGCGTGAAAAATATCAGAGTATAGATCAATCTTATTGGTGTTAGAAACTTACTGGCTTACTTCTTTACTTGAAAGGAAATCGATAAATTTTCGTTTTTTACACATTTGAGTGTTAAAGATGTACGATTTTTGCCTGTGTCTCTACCTAAGCTCTTATAAATGTGTGCCTTATATTGAATTCAGGCAAGCGGATAAAGAAGTCTAAAATTTAGTGAATGAGACATCAAATACGTGACGATAAAGCAAACATATTAATTGTTTACACGAATATCACGTATAAACATCAGCCATTCTAATTATGATACATAATTTTAATTTAATTTTTTTTAACTACAACATTTTCTGGTCTGCGCCTCAGATTTTGTGGCTGTTCCATGATGATTTGTCAATCTAAAAGGCGAGATCAGCCTCCTTTACCTGACACACTCCATCGACTTTTTGGGTCTAAGGCAAGTTTCCTTCAGCGTTCGAGCGATCGTTAAATGCACACATAGAAAGAAAGTCCATTGGTGCACAGCCGGGTAGAACCCACGGCCTCAGGGATGAGAGTCGCATGCTGAAGCCTCTAGGCCCACACTGCTCACAGATAATATTATATTTATAGTAAAGCCGTTATCTTAAATAAATCTACGTCATTTTAGTACTGAGCTAATTAAAAATTTGGTCTTATGTGATACCGCGGCTTCATAGGGTAAGATTCTAAACTTTGCGGAAACCAGCTCGCCTTGGACCCAAAAAGTCGACGGCGTGTGTCAGTCACAGGAGGCTGATCACCTACTTGCCTATTAGATTGACAAATGATCATGAAACAGATAGAGAAATCTGACCTGACATGAAAAGGTTGTAGCGCCACTTATTTTTTTATATATTACAGATCTGTATACGTAAACGATAACTATTTAATAATTTTAACATTTGTCGTGGTTCATCTATCAATGAATAAAATAATTTCATAAACTGTTCTGCAAAATAAACTTTTTAGTACGCTTGACATTTTTAAATATAATAAATATAAAGGTAAAGGTAGAGTTTATTCATACAAAAAAATACAAATCTTTCCTTTATTAGAGTAACAGCGCGTTTGCGACTCTTTGGTATAGACTATAGACAGTGGTTCTTTCGTGAAAACTGAACGCATATTATTAATTTTTTACGAACGAAGTCCTTATATACAAATAGAATAATATATATTTATTGAAGTTAACCACATTATATATAATGCATTTTCTACAGTATATGTTACAAACTATTATAAAATATATGACAATTAAGGCCCTATCGGGAAACGAAACAGAGGAAGACCGCTCACCAGATGGGCGGATGACATTACTAAAACGGCTGGCTGGATGCAACTTACCCAAAACATAGATACCTGGAGATCCTTGGAGGAGGTCACCTGCGGAAGGGTTCTTGCAAAATAATAAGGATATAAAAATAGTGTTATTTATTTTCTAAAAAAACAAATATATATAATAGGCATACTAGGATTACGTTAACATTTTTTGGAAGAAATACAAAGGCTTTTTTATTTTATTTATTAATTTATGGTGAATATAAATTTGCCAAAAATATACAATAAAATTTTTATATTATTGCCTGAACTACTAGGTTGGTTAATTAAATAGTTGGTTTTAATAATAGATTTGATAGGGTGATTAATAGATCTATTAATGTATAAAATTAAAATCCAATTAAAATATCGACTTAACCTACAAGCAAGTACTTAATGATGGTCTAAGATCCCGATATACACTCGGCGTCAAAAAAATCGCACCTTTCATAAAATTCGTGTCAAGCGATTATAACTCCGAAGATCCTTCCTGTACCCTATCATTATTAGTATCATTTGAAAGCTAATGAAATCCTTTATTTGAAAACGGTAGGAAATTGGCCACCACCCCCATAAAAAAAGAAAATTCTGGGAAAATGTGAAACAATGTGTATTCTGATCAAAATTACAAAGAAAAGGAACAATACAAAAATTAAAAATAAACAATAACAATCCTTAAAAATTAGTCTTAAAACTTAGTGTTGCCTCCTCTAGCCCTCCGACCAGCTTCCAAGCGGTCAGTCATGGACCTGATGAGCGTCACGACGTGTTCCTGGGGAATGTTGTCCCACTCCTCGATGACGGCATCTCGAAACTCATCGAGAGTGGCAGGAGCTGGATTACGGGCCCAAACTCGCCGTTTCAGCTCGTCCCAGAGGTGATCGATAGGATTGAGGTCGGGGCTTCTTGCTGGCCAGTCCATAACCTTGATGTCAACTCGACGTAGGTAGTCCTTGACAATCAAGGCTGTGTGGGACCGGGCGTAGTCGTGCATAAACTCGAAGTTGGCACCGACAAAACCTGCACATGGGACCACATGCTCCTCCAAAATCTCGGTGATATACCGGTAGACAGTCAGAGACCCCTGGCCGCGACTATCTCCAGCTCTGGAAACGCACACGAGGTCTGTCTTGCCGTCGATAGAAATGCCGCCTTAGAACATACAGGATCCTCCTCCATACTCGACGGTTTCCACGGTGCAGGGTGGTGTGAAACGCTCCCCTGGTCGCCTGTAGACTCTCTTACGCAAGTCGTTGGTGTACAGGCACACTCGGGTTTCGTCGGAGAACAGGACATTCCTCCACTGGTCGAATGTCCACGGCACGTGCGTTTCCTAAAATCGCTTAATGTTCGTCCGGTGGATGGCAGTCAATCGGGGGCCTGTAGCAGCTTTCCGGGGCAGCAAATTCTTCTCACACAGCCTTTTTCTGATAGTGGAGACGCTGTCTGCTGTCATTCGAGTAGCTTGAAGCCGCTGCTGCAGCTCCACAGCGTTGGAGAAGCGGTTCCGCAAAGACGTGGACACAATGTAGCGATCATCTCTGACGGTAGTGCAGCGATGTCTCCCGGATCCATGTCTCCTGATGTAACCTCCAGTCTCTTGGAACCGTTGGTATACCTGTTGCACTTGAAATCGGCTG